TGTATTTTAAACCATAACTTTAGGTGATTCCTTGGATCATTTCAAGTCTTAAAGAAGTCTTAATAAAATTTTAATAATAATTAAAAGTCTTAGATTTAAGAAACATAGTTTCCAAGATATAGAACATTTAAGTTTTTCAAAAAAACATTTTCTTAAATATCTTAGATTAATTATGTTACCAATTATGTTTCTTTGAAAATTATGATTTTTCAAGAAGATTACAAAATTTAATAAACGTTACATCTAATATTTATCTATTTATCTACTTTCATCTTTGTGGCCTGCGCATTTTGCGATAGTGGATTATTCGAGGAATATCTTAACAATCTGTAAAATGTATCTGAAAGAAAAAAAAGAAAAAAAATACTTGACCTTTTGAATCTCGGCCAATGAGATACATGGTTGCCTCATCTACCATAACTGTGGATAACAATGCAACAAATAGAATAAACACATTAAAATCTTGTACATCTATAGTTTATTGTCTTAAAACGTGCATGATAGTTATATTATATAATATTTACGTCCCTTCAGTATCTTTGATTTATGAGCAGGTTTTCAAAACGTATCCCAAATTATCGACCTCTGAACTGAATAACATAATTATACATTAATATCCTTTCTACGTTCGATACGATATCTGTTTCTCTACTTTAATTTTTTTTATATTCCTACCAACAAATTCAATGTTTATTTCAATTTTAATTCGTTAAGAAAAAGCTGAATTAGTGTTGCAAAAGACTGTCATCCTTAAATTCCGTATCGATTAAGATTTAAAAAAATATTAAAAGGTTCCCGTATGCATTATGCATAAAACTAATCTGCACGTTGTATAGTTTTGAGGAAAATTTAATGATTAATTTCTGAGATTGCACGCGAAAAGTAAATTTGACTAGAATATTTTTCTTAATAAACTTATTAATATCGTTATTCGTATAGAGATTATTTCAATATTAACTGACTTAAATCCTTTCTATTTGTACACTCATTAGCATTGCTCGATTGCTAATCCGCGTCGCACAGTCGTCTTAATAAAAAAGCAGCATTCGTTTATAAGTAGATTAATGGACTCATCTTGTGCTCTCAGGCGGCGACGTCACGTAATCGGCCGGTACGAAATCGAGGTTTTTGTCAATGGACAATGTCGTTCGCAATAGGCTGAGACTTGAACTGACCAGGAGGCCAATGGACCCTGTCGACCCAACCTATGATTGACTCAGTCTAGGTTGAATTTACGATAGTATCGATCGTACGATGCGTATCAGCATTCTGCTGCCGTATCGCAACATCATGTCCTCCGCGATCGCTTTCGTAAATACGAATGTATTGGGCCAGTCGTCAATCGATCTGTGTCCGTTAAAAAAATGTCATGGAAAAAAAGATCGCACAAGATTGAAGAGAAAGCACCCCTTGCTTCGCGTTCCCTTCGAAAAGGCTACTAAGGTTTAACTATAGGATTTAATCGACGTAAGTGTGAATCTATCGGTGCTTTCCAGCAAGCGACACAATGTAACACACCTGGTTGATCATTTCATCTTTGTTAATATAATAGACGAACAACAAGGATGTAATAAATCTGTTCTTTTTAGCTAAAATTCTTGCACTGTTCACGTTTCTTCTCTACGTTGAAGAGAAAAAAAAAGTAAATCGTACAAGAAGTTTAGGTAAAAAGAAGAACAACAGATCAAATAATTTACTGTATTACACTGTTAGCTGTGTCTCTTGCTGGAAAGTATTCTATGTTCAACTCATGAGAAATTCAAGAAACGGATAGAGTCTCGCGTAAAATATATTTTTCGTAAGGCACGTCTTTTCACACATACACACGCACACACAGACGCATACATGAGCTGCTAAGATGGTGCTACTTTTGTACAAAATAAAATCATGGAGTCTGTTAGATAGGCTGTGTTCAGAGAGGCGCTGTTAGAGTATCAGTCTATCCTTATTTTACATCTAATGAATGACAAAGAATGATACAAATAACGCTAAAGTTTATTCTGCAATTGCGTAAGTGTAAATGGTTGTAAGAATTGACTAATCACACTGTTAAATCTATAGTATCAAATAGGGTCTCTTTCACCAACCTCGATTAAGTTAACCGACGGTTACATGAGACTCATTTATGCTCATTTCCGTAGATTAACTTTAATCTCGGTTCACAACTTACTCTTCGTCTTTTTCTAATCTTTAGAACTAGAAAAAGACAAAGAGTAAGTTGAAGAGATTAAAATTAATCTACGTTGGTAGAAACGGGTATTAGACCTAGTTTCACAACTCATGGTTAATTTTTAACCGAGGTTTAACTTATTTTCAGTAATAATGAGTAATAATGAGTTGTGAAACTGGGCTTAAATGAGCCCCATGTAACCGTCGGTTAACTTAACCAAGGTTGGTGAAAGAGACCCTTAATCTTAACTCTGGCGAGTCGCCACTGCTCTTACTACAAATATATTGTTATTTTTTACTAAAATGATAATTAAATTTGACAGTATATCATCGTATCAATTTGACTGTTTAGTGTCAAATATAACCATTGTTTTAATATAAAATAACGATATGATTGAACAGTGGCAACTTACATTAAGTTAAATTTGATACTACAAATTTAACAACGTATAATCAAATTCTTCTCGTATTCGGCTGTGATTGGTGAATTTTTACGACTACCACTTACAACTACGATTGCGCAATTGTAGAATTGCCTCGACATACACACACACATATATATAAGGAGTTATTCAGTATGTTTGAAAATTATTTAAAAATCATGGTAAATCACCGTAATAAAATACAAAGCGTCATACGTTACAAATAGTATAATGCAAGGTCTTATTAAAATCAGAATTTGCAAGTCTATCAGATTTTTACGCAAATCCGCAACATATACAGCCTCGATCATTCAGCGTGCACGACGCGTCACAGCGTCTGCGAGGCATTCACATAGTCTCGCTAGAAGAAGTAATATCGCTATAGAAGAAGCGTAGGTGCGCTATAAAGGTGTACCCGTCGTTCGAAGGCGAAGAGAAAACGTCGCGAAGAAGAAAAAGCTAAGAAGGCGCGCACATACACTCGATTACACAGTAAATCGAGAGACAGAGAAGGAAGGAAGTAGGCGAGACTCGTTATGCGAGGACGACGAGGGTGGGAGAGGAGAGGGGTTACGTTACTCTCCCTCTCCCGGCCCCCTTCTCGGGGACCGTCGACTTGACCTCCCCTCCAGCGACGCAAATCGCCGGCCGCTTCTCGTTTACCCCCTCCGGCGGTCACCACCGGGGTCTTACGACGCACAGAGGGGTACGCGCGTCACGCATGCCTCCTCGTGCTCTCACACTCGCTTCAACGGGCCGATCGTGTACACGTGCTCTTCACCGCCGCGCCGATCTCTCGTCGATCTCTTGCCGATCTCGCTCTCAGCCGCGATCGTATCGGTCGTCGTACCTCCAGCGTTACTCTCGATATCTCTCGCAGCGACGCGTACCAAATTGATAGTTATGCGCGAGACAATGTTGCGTGGTTACGAGTTCCCCGGAAAATAGGATCGACGTGTGTGAACCGGTCTTTCTTTCCAGGAGCATGTTGAAACGTGCGATATACCTAATGTGACTTTGGTTATCACGCTTTGCTTTTCGATCTGACGGTGATGACATTGGGTAGAAAACTATGTACGATCAGTTTTTCTGCAAATATATACGATTGTGTGTTTCTAGTGCGCGATTTCGATAAATGTATTTCGGCGTAATTGTATAGATGTCTATAGATTGTCGAGTGTTTCGTCACAAACGTCGATTTCGAATCGGATTTCTTGCTACGTATCGTAGCTCCGCGAGCGAACAAAGACAGTGGGCGAAACTGATAACAGTGTGTCGATAACACCGACGTTAGTTACTGCTTCCAATTCCTCTTCGATTTGTAGCTTCTGTCTCCATCAATGTGCGATATTGACGCGTAGATGGTTAATTGAATCGCTAATCAGCTACTTGTCATCGCGTTCCACTGATGTTTAACTACTAGCATTCGATCGCGAATCGATTTCGAGACTGCGCGAACCGAAGGTCTACGTTCGATCAAGAGTCTCTTTCGCTTCCTGGAAAAATTGGAATGATACAAAGAACGACAGATAATAACGTGCTGTCTTCTCGCTTGGATTACTCGCTTCTCTTTAATCGTTCGTGTCAGCAACTTCGGTCTCCGCAAGTAAATTCAATCCTCTTTTATCCGTTTGTTGGAAACTGAGTTTATTTACGTTTCTTTACGATTTTGATCTGATGTTTTTGCCACCGGGTTATCTTCGATATTCAGCACTCGTCGAGTTGAATGCCCGAAGTCCACGCGTTTCAAGATTCGTTGTTTAATTACAAGATTATTTCAAAGAAGGGTGACTATTTTAAGTGAATTTAAAGTTCTTGCAGCTGTCACATAAATATAGGTGTCATTTAAAACGAGTGATAGAGAAAATATTGAATTTCATTTGTTTACCTTTAAATAAGAAAGTATCATTTTGTTTGGGCAGCGAAGAGAATGAAAATTCAAACTTTTATTCAAACCCCAATGAACCATTATTATTGACATAGATACTTTTCTTGTATTCGATATATTATTTTGTTACTATGTTGTAATTGCTATGTAACTTTAAAATGTTACTTACTTGTCACTGCTACTTATAGATCAAGAATTAGAAAGTCTTGTTCTAAAGAAACAAAAGAATAAGAGACACACTAAAATAAATCGATGAAATTCTACAATATTATTGCGTTATATAAAGCATAAAGAAAGTGTAAAACTAGAAAAAAGTCAGAAAACAGTTTGAAAACTTCAATTAATTTAAAGTCATTTGAAATTTTTAAAAATATCTTCTCTTTTTCTTTAAATAATCTTATATTAATAAGATCAATTTGCAAAATTTTTTCATTCAACAAAACTAAGATTTCTTTTAATTTCTAATTTCAAATTAAAAACATTTATCGACAACGGATTATGAGAGGTTTTACAATAAGTAATAAAAGTCAATATCTTCACAAATTTGCTATAAATTCAAACAGCAAGTAGCAAATAATCAGAGTTATTGAACCCGAAGCGAATTACCGGAGCGAAATATCGGATTACGAGGTTTTACAATTAATGATAAAAATCAATATCTTCACAATTCGCTGTGAATTCAAATAGCAAGTAGCAAATAACCGGAGTTATTGAACCGAAGCGAATTATCGGGGCAATCAGATCGGTGTCTTGCACGGGATCCGTCTTATTTTCTAACGATAACGATCTCACGTGCTTCTTATCGATCTACGTGCACCAAAAAGTAGGCAAATCCAGCGAGAGGCTATCGATCAATTGAACGCTTTCGGGCCTGCAGGCCATGCATGCACGCAGAGAACGCTCTTATCTCTATAATAGTTATCGAATAGACTAGAGGCGAACCGGAGATTTGTTGAGTAAAAGAAGAGAGAGACAGAGAGAGAGAGAGAGAGAGAGAGAGAGAGAGAGAGAGAATCATCGCGAGAATCATCGAGCGGTGGAGGGCGACCTCGAGATAAGGGAGGACAGCAACGGGGAGGAGCTCATCGATTGTAAATTATAATTCACCCGCGCGCGTCGCGACTGCGGAAAAATCGGCCGGGCGGACGAAATAATTATTGTGCACGTTCGCATCCCTCGCTTTCTCTCTTCGTACGTGTATTCAGTGAGAGAGAAGGAGACGAAGAAGGAGGATTAATCGCACCATGCCGATCGTGACGTGAATCGAATGCGAGATCCGCCGCGTCGTCTTCGAAGGGCGGAGAACACGCCCGTGGTGCAAAGTGATCGGCAAGGTGTCATCGCGGCGATCGTCCATCGCCGAGAAGGTGGAGGAAAAAATAGTGTTGTTGGTGGTGGTGAAGGAGGAGAGCTCGTCGTCTGGATGCCAGTTCTCGAGGGCGGAGTGCGAAAAAGGGCCGTGCGTAAAATGCGGATGAGAATCTGCGCCGCGACCAAGGAGTCCTACACACTCCTCTCCAAGAAACGGTAAAGATTCATTTTCTCTGTCGAAATCTTGTTCTCGAAATTAGCGAATCTAGAAATTTGTCAAAGGGACAGCCATTAGCTCGCCTCAAGAGAAATTTCTTTTAAGGTCAAATACGAAAGGATAGAATATTAAATTGTTACTTAAATTATTACATTGAAAGATTTTATTTAAATGTGTAATTCGCACATAAATTTATATTTAAAATTATATTAACACAAAAGAAGAATTAATAGATTAAGATTTTTAATTTGGACACATTTTTATTATTGTAAATTTACCAAGCGACTCATTTTAAGCGTACAGTTTATATTGCGTCAGTTACTGAAGATGATCAAAAATAATGTGGTCGAAATGTCTAGATTTTTATTAATAAACATTAAGAATCGTAACAAGGAACATACAAGCCTAGTCTGGATGTTTTTGCCTAATTTTTGTTTCTTTCAAAAATAATATATTTATAACGTTTTCGATCATTTATCTGATCATCTTCAGTACATAAAATTATTTACCATCAATAATTTGACATTCGCCGTAATCAGTTACAATACAATTTCGTCGCAATACCGACTATAATTCTCACAAGTCGTCAATGCTTCTTTTAATCGTCCTATGATTATAAAATCGTTCTCCCCGTCATTTTCATTGTTCTTTACGACACAATAAGGAAATTAGAATATAATAAATATATATTAGAATATATTGTAACTGATTATGACGAATGTCAAATTATTGATGGCAAGTAATTTATACTGAAGATGACCAGATAAATGATCGAAAACGTTATAAATATATTATTTTTGAAATAAACAAAAATTAGGCAAAGACATCCAGGCTTATATGTTTCTTGTTACGACTCTTATAAATATATATTATTTTTTGAAATAAAGAAAAATTAGGCAAAAATTTTAGCACTAGACTTATATGTTCCTTGTTACGACTCTTATTGTTTATAACTGTAGCCTTTGATTATATTATAATAAATATATTATTATATATTATTATAATATAAATATATTATTATATATTATATATTATTATATTTTTTACACACGAAAACTGTGTCAGCTCTTATAGGTTTTTTCTTTATTCATTTGATTGTAATATAATAGAATAGTTTTTTATATCTAGGAGTTTCTTAAATTAAAAAGTATTTTTAGAATATCAAAATTGTAATTAAGCATTTTAGAAACATTAAAAATATAACATTTTGTTACAAATATTTTCAAAAAAGGAGTCCAAGGAGGGTTTTTATGTTCATCCTTCGTGAATCTGCCAGTGATTTTCGCGTGCGCGGCATAAAGTTTGTTACCGAGGAGTCTTCCGATTACAAAGAATAATTACGAAGGTTAATAGAAAATCTCGAGGCAAATCTTCACGTCCGATTACGCGCGATATCTCACGATGAGCATGAAGCGTCTTCTCGTCGCTTTTCTCTATCGCGCGGACCTCGTTCCAGTTCGCGCATTCACGGTGGATTTAAACGCACGTATCCGCGTCTCGCGTTCCGATTTCCGTCAAATGGTGTCCGTTCTCTTTTAGCGATACTCTTTAGCGAAAAGTCGAGCGACGCAGCGGCCGTGGTTACAGTTACGGCATACAATGATCGTACGAAAGCGGAAAAAGAAGACTCCGGCTGGAGGAGAGGGAGAGCACGAGTCGATCAAACCCATAATCATAATTTACGGACGAAATATTTATGGACTGTCATTTCGTAAATTACCGCTTGAGATTACAGCTCGTTACACGGCTGCACTCGCGCGCGCAATTCGCAAGTGAAAGAGAGAAAGAGAAAGAGAGAGAGGAAAGAGTCAGGCTGGGCCGTGTAACGGGCATACTCTAACTTTTAACGACATTGTGCACTCTCCATGTACGAGAAGAATGACGATGCGTTTCACGATCCATCGCGAATTCACCAAAATTGCATCTTCGCGCGGTGCATTGACGATAGGTTGTAGCTAGTGTAGTCGTGAGACTTTTCATTCAAATTATTATATTATAAATATTCACAATTATGATAGAATAATGATATTGATGGGTATCGTCTCGTTGCAGGATTTAAAAAATCATTTGATCTTGCAATCATTGTGAAAGACGTAAACAATAATATTCTAATTTGGAGTTGAGACAATAATTACATGCATTATGTAATTTATCAATCAATTTTAACCACTGATGATAGCTCGGGATGAAGCCGAAACGTTTGGATTCCAAAATAAATCAAAGTAAAACACAATAAAGGATTTGTTGCATTCCAATTATCGCGCTTCACTCTCATTGCCAATTTATTTCTATTTCTATTCTTTAACCCTTACCTCACAAATTATTAGTAACCGACCGATTCCTGTTCGTGCAAGTTTCTTTGTGTCTTTCGGTAATTATAAATTATACTACACTTTATTATTTTCCAAAATGAAGTGTTAATATTTATTTTAGAAAGTATGTTGGTGAATTTTTAAAAATTTTTTGTACCATTCTGAATAGGTGAAAAAATGGACGGATTCTAGTGATCCATACGGAAAAAAAATTAATTGGGTGGTACAGCAAACCTATAATTTACGCGAATTCAACATCGAATTCAACAACTAAGAAGATTTGATGGTTTAACAAATCGCTAAAGTTATTCAGCTGTCAATTTTGCTATTTTAACATAGAAAATTGACTGTCTGTATATTACGACTATAGATTTGCTGAATCAGTGAAGTTTTCAGCTGTGTTTTTTTCTGTGCATGTTTGGCACCAAATTGTACCTTGCATTGTAAGAGTTAATATTAGAGTTCGATTTGTATATACGTTCATATTAAAAGAATCCTTTTTTTTGCTACTTTAACCGCAAATTTCTCAAAATTTTGACGTAGAGCAATTTAAAACGATATTCTATTCATATTCTGTAAGAAACTACAAGAAACAATTATCTATCTTTGCTCTTGTGCATTTTTTTTTTAATGACTGATATTGGATACTATTATATTTTCGCTTGGAATCTCTATATGCTTGAGTAACATTTTATATACGACCGTGTAACTAAATACGAATATGTGATTTTACAGTGGTATTTTGCATACGTAAATCAGACATTATGACATGTAATCATGTTTAGGAAAAAATACCAGAGAGATACTCGACACCGAATGGACGAAATGATCGATACTCCATTAAACTTCCTCGTTTATATAGTATATGTACGATCGATTTACGTGCAGTCTCGACTCGCGCGATTTGCCCGCGGATAGGAATAACTTTGCTCGATCTTTAAAACATGCGTGAAGATAAATGCGACACGCAAATCGCTGGGGAAACGTCGCTCACGATTGTTGCGTGATCTGGCATATTTGCAAGTTCGATCCAAAGCGAAAGTCGTCATTTAAGCCATTATGTCCACAAGGCGATGATACGGTGAAATACATACCCGGCACATTCACCGCGAATGGAATTAGAATAATTCGCAGTACGTCGTCATAAATATTCATTAGCACGTAGTCCTGTACTTCAACTATTTACACAGCTACATATACATATAGAGGATTCTAAACAACCCCTTAGAGATTTTCGGTATCCGATTACCGTTGCCGGTATGTGACAAAGATAACAACTAAAAGCTATCTGTGTGTTTTATTTCTCATCAGAGTGCACGAATGAATGCTTTACAAATGTTCGCCAAGAGAATGAATTATTATCCTTTTTATTGCCAGTATCGTAGACCGCAACATGTAATCGTTAGTATTAACATAATTCAACATTAACATATTCAATCACGAGTCTGAAAAGATACTATAAATTTAATTAAATGGTTTAAATTTTTCTCGAACAAAGAAAGAAGAAAATTAATCAATGAATGATTTTCAAAATATTTAATAGAGCTACAAAAAATTAAACTAAGAAAAAAGTGATAGTTTGAGTGAATTATGCGTATTACAATTTTATCATATTATAAAGTTATATCATGTTATAAAGTCATAGAAGAGAGAGAGGGGGGGGGGGAAGAGAAATACACATGTAAAAATTATGTTCTACAAATGATAATATACAGTGAGTGTAAAAAAAAATTCGTGCAAAGAAATCATTAAAAAAAAAACATTTTTAAAAAGTAAACGATATCCGAGTCATCGAATTGATGTCGAATCAATATCGATACGATGATTTCGACACCAATTCGATGTTGATTCAACGCCTAATTAACGGCCATTTCTTGTTGGATAATTAACAATTTATTCAAAAAAAATAAAATAAACTGTATGTCTTTCAAAATATATCAAAGATATATATTAATTATAGAAAATATATTATATTAAAAATAAGCGAAAATTAAAAATTGTATTGTTTGAACGCTCAAAAAGTATTTATACAGAGAAATTTAACTTCTAAAATTACGAATACATGAAACTTGTTTGTTTAGGTTAAAATAGAATGTATTAATTGTACAAAATTGCTGATTAATGTTTATTTTCTACAAATAAGGTTAGGTTTTTTTATTAAAAAAATTCCTTGTACGAATACTTTTTACATTCACTATATATATATGTGTGTTAATGTCTATTAATTTAATCAAATAATAATCTGTCGGTTAATTATATTCTATTAAAATTTATATTTTAGCAAAATCATTTTTCTCCGTCAAATCAATATAGGAACACAAAATGTAGATTTTATTAATATCACTGAAATTTTGCTAATTATTATAATTAAATGACACGTTGAATGTGTGCAAGAAATTGAGAAGTATGGAAACCGTGAAGCTGTCACTTCTGATACTGATTTAGTAGCAGAAAGGGGCTCGAGAATGAAGCAAAAGGGGTGATCCCTAGGGGTGCGCGCAGGTATAAAGGCAAACATCATTCTGCTTCGTGATCCGAGATGACACGATTACATGAATGTAATTTTCGCAAACAATTTCACATGGAATATTTATTACCTAGGGAGAAAATGGATAAAGTTAGGTACAAAACGTAATATATATATATATATATATATATATATATATATATGTATGTTATATATTTTA